AAAGATAGGCTCGCACAGCAAAAGCCTGTGACACAGCTGAAGTAATGTGCAAATTATAAGTTGCCCTAAACATAAATACTGTCACAAGCATGAGATGAACAAATTTCCTACCAGTTAATTTCTGCTAAGTGAAGAGCCCGATAAATATTCTTATCCTAGCTTTGCTTATCACTTGCTGCCTGTATCTCCTACGTCTGGTGTAAGGCTAAGACTTCACCCTTTATTCCATCTGAAAACTCAGTCACTTCAGATGAACACCCTTATGTGTTACAAGATCAAATAAGGGGGTTGTGGGATAACTGCCCCCAAGCCTACAAGCAACATACCTCGGTGGCCACACATTTAGAGACTGTGAGAAAAGGTCCAATGCGTAGACTAATGAAGGCATACAGAGTTCCTCTATGCAAAATTTGGGGGATCTGATATCGGTGTAGCAGCAGGGGGAGGGTCAGCCTGCTCAGCCATATGTCCCACAGAAAGCTACTTGTCAAGATTACCCTGGTAAAACGATCAGGTAAGGGACTCATTCACTCATGCATGTCTGTCATTTAATTTCTCCACAGTATATATGATGACTGGCTGCCATACATGTGGATTGATTCCACTGCAAAGCATTGTGTTCAAGGTGATATGGAATAAAAGGTGGTCAGTTCACACACGTGTTTTACCCCTTAATCTATATTCAGGAATTCATACTGGAAACATGAAGGCAAAAAGGGGGAAGGCGTAGAGGGACATGCCCCAACCCCTTTTACCTTCTTGAATTGAGTAGGAAGGACTGAAGAAGGCTTCTAGTATGATTTAATCAGGGGTCAACAAACTTTTTCAGCAGGGGGCCAGTCCACTGTCCCTCAGACCTTGTGGGGGGCCGGACTATCTTTTTTGGGGGGGAATGAATGAATTCCTATACCCCACAAATAACTCAGAGATGCATTTTAAATAAAAGTACACATTCTACTCATGTAAAAACACACTGATTCCCGGACCAGCCGCAGGCTGAATTTAGAAGGCGACTGGGCTGGATCTGGCCCCCTGGGCCTTAGTTTGCCTACCCATGATTTAACTGAATGTGCTTAGAAGCTTCCTTGCAGGGCTCTCAAAGGTGGTCCAGTGATCAATACTTTAGTGATACAGGTGCCATTTTGATCAGTTCTTTTACTCTTGTGGGAATGAAACCATCAGGTTCCATGACTATTATGTCAGGAAGACACAGCATTTAAAGTCTTTCTTAGGGTGAAACAGCCCTCGTCCTTTACATATGCATGACTCTGAAGGTAATCACCTGGTGTTACAAGAATCTAGCAATTTCATCAGCACACAACTCTGTTCTTACCACCTTCTTTTCCAATGTCACCATTTATTTTCCCATATGTGCTGCCTTTTGAAGACGTATTTGTCATGAAGATATACTTTGGGTCTCCAAGGGTTTCCTTAGAGAGAGGATTGTGAAGTTGTCACCCTGAGGATATTGCTGAATCACAACTCTTTTTATCTCAACCAGTGTTGAAGTTCAATAACATATTGAGAGCTACAGGTTCCCCGACCTTAACTGAGGGAAACTGCTAATAGAACGCTTTTGTTCAAGACCTTCTTTCAGATTCAGTGGCCGACTTTGAAGTCACCCATCCATACATCCTTTCATTTATTGCCTTGTGTTCATGCATTGCTATCTCCTGATGGCTCACAAAGAAGACCGCACAATCAGAGCTGTGCAGGAATGGCATTTCAAAATTTTCCACTCTATTTGCAGGCATCTAAATTGGCAGAACCAAGTTAGGAAAACAAATTCAGTTAATTTCTCCAGCAGAAAGAGAAATTTTCCAACAATTTATTGGGGATAGGATTTCCCATTAGCAATGCCAATAGCACAGCATCTTTCTTATTTTCCTCCCTCCCTCCCTCTGTGTGTATGTTTGTGCTTTGACAGAATGGCCACCATTTTGCATTGCCCACAGTGCTCCAGATCTTGTGTTACTCCAGGGCATTGTAAAAGAGAAATGGTGGCTACGACCAAGAAATGGTGGAGTATGTATGTGTGTGTGTTTGTATGTATGTATATATTTTAAACTGATGTTTTATTGTAATTTTATTGGTGTTAGCGACCCTGAGCCCAGTTCTGGCCAGGGAGGGCGGAGTATAAATAAAATATTATTATTATTATTACTAATACTATTATTATTAGGGTGAGAAAAAGAGTAATCTTAGAAAATTTCTCATAAAAAATGTCTTCTGTGATATTTAATGTGACTCCCAATTTTACTAGAATATTGTAAAGCCAGTTATCGTTATAGGTTTATACAGCCCTACTCCTGGGGTGGGGCGGGGGACAATAATCTGTTTGTGCATATGGTGGCTTTCCTACCCCTCCCTCTGAAAGTACAAAAAAAGGTCTGGATCATGCTCTGTGATGATAATATGAAAATAATATCTTTTGTTGAAAGTGCTTTGCCATCCTCCAGTTCAATGGGGGGGGGGGACTTAATGAGTTAAGCATCCTTGAAAACAGCAATTAAATGAAAACATTTAATACTGCTTCATCTAACACAACCATAACTTATTGGTGATGACACAGTTGGGCTGAACAACCAGAGATGAAAATGGTGAGTTTGTATTCATAACTTTCATTATAAATAAATCCAAAATTAGTTATTATCTTTGCCCTGATGTTATGCATTGCAGTGTGCAAAACAATGGTTTCATCATCAAAATCTCTTCAAGTTAAACATTAGTGAAACTCTAATGGAGATAAAGCAACCTCTCAGATTTTCTAATGGACTTTTTTTTTCTAATCACAGCCCTCTTTATGTATCTTTCATAATGATTTATTTTATAAAGATCTCAGGGATTACATCATTTTCTATGTGCTGTTCAAGATAAAGCTGTTTGCATCTCATAAAGAAGTATGTGAGAGCAAACTTGGTCAATTCAATTACTGTAAACTATCTTATGCACATGTAATAGCTAATTATAAGGCAGCATGAGTAGCTGGATGCAATATAAATAATATCAATGGTACATGTTTTTCCAGCCTGATTCAGTTTAAACACTTAAACGATTAATAACTGAAGATGGTTCTTTTTAATACCCTGGAGAACGGGGGAACATTGTTTACAGAATTACTTCCTTGAGCTATTTAAAGAATTAAAGCCTGACATCAAAATAATATTGCTTCTCAAATCAAGTGTCATCTGTTTTTATTCTGCAAAGAGTAAAGATCAATTTCCACCTCAAGGTAAAATTATGGGTGAGCAAATCAACTTGCCTTATAATTAGCTCAGTTTCTCAAAACTTTCTAAGAAAACTCTTGGGACAAGTTATTTCACTGAGAGCTCTCAGAGAAATCTGAAAATATTGGCACATATAGGAGTACTTCACTCCATGCACTTTAACCAGTCCCGGATTTACATATAAGCTAAACAAGCTATAGCTTAGGGCCCCATTCTCTTGGGGCCCCTCCAAAAATTAAAGGGGAAAAAACTGGATGCACGTTTTCAAAATATAAGATAAAAAACAGATAAAATAAAACCTACATACATACAGCAACAGTGTTTTGTGTTGTGTAGGCTCCTGTGGCATAAGTAATGGGCCCCACCTGCTAGCCTGCTCCCTAAAATATCACTGGTTTGCTCATTTCTATATCATTTACTTTGATAAAATACATATTTTGTTATGTGCAAATGGCTTTAGGTACCTATTAGGTCCATAAATTAGCATATATTCAACACAAAAAACAGCAACAATTTGTTGTTGACAAAGGACTGCTGGACATATAAAGGGCCCCATTACCTTCAGTAGCTTAGGGCCTCATCAAACCGAAATGGACTTTAACAAACAAGCTCCTGCGAATGAGCAGGAAGAACTAAATGAGGATGGTGGAGACAAGGGCTGGCCCAGGGTGTTTTGCTTCCTGAGGAAAAACAGAAAATGGCACCTACTGACACTGCTCCCACTTCCTCCTCTGCCACCATCTGACGCTGCCTGAGGCAACTGGAGATGGTCTGGTGAAGCTTCAGAACACTGAAGGCAGCAGGGGAGAATAAAGGAGGCTGGAGAGGAGCAGGTGGTCAGGGAAGGAGCAAGGGAAGAGGAAGAGGTGGTAGTGGGGGTGGGCGACAAGCACAAGATGCAGCAAGGGGTGAACCCCTGCCACCCCTCCAGCTGTCCGCAGGCTGCCAGCTGAGGCAACTTCCTCACTAAGCCTCATGGACCAGACAGCCCACTGGTGTTGACCCAGTTCACCGAACTGCCTCTTAGGAGCAAAAAATAAATATATATTTTTTTTAAAAAAATGGGTCCATGCTTTGAAGCTGATGTCTACAAAGCCTGGGCCGTTGCCTGTCATATCTCCCCACTGCTGTTCCCCCTTCCTACTCTACGTAAATTTGCTCTGGAAAAGACGAACTGTCAATGGGAGCTCCTTGTGCCCTGGACACGAATTTTGTATGCTCAATTCATAACAGATTCAGGTGGGTGATTGAGTTTGCCGTTCTGCACCTGTTCCCCAGGTCAGAGCTTGTCCTCAGTTCCATAATGCACAACAATAATAAGTAAACCTGTAGTTAAATAATACTTTATACATCCGCAATTACCCCTGTGTTTGTTTTTGGTGCATCGAAAATGGTAACCATATCTTTTTCTAAAAGTAACCACTAAATGGAGAGGAGAGGAAATCATTGCCCACCTTGTCAATGGTAGAAGAAGAAGAGTTTGGATTTGATATCCCGCTTTATCTCCACCCGAAGGAGTCTCAAAGCGGCTAACATTCTCCTTTCCCTTCCTCCCCCACAACAAACACTCTGTGAGGTGAGTGGGGCTGAGAGACTTCAGAGAAGTGTGACTAGCCCAAGGTCACCCAGCAGCTGCATGTGGAGGAGCGGAGATGCGAACCTGGTTCACCAGATTACGAGTCCACCGCTCTTAACCACTACACCACACTGGTAAAGTAAGGCAAGTCATACACACAGCAAGCATTACAGAAATACACCCATCACCAGTCTTCAGGGGCATTTTATTTTCACTCAACCCATATGATTGGCGAAAGAAGCCATTTATTTCACATACTGAGGTGCTAGGTTGCAAGACCACCAAAAGCCTTCCACACTTTATAGCGTACAGTGTAACAGATGAGGGCAAGAAGTGTCTGACCCAGACCTAAGACTATGAATCATGAACTATGTTGGGCATATTATTCCTTCAGAAACTGGCATTATTGATTTCCAGAATAACATCAAAAAAGGCTTTTTCCTTCTGCATGATTTTGACCTTTACCTGCTTTCAGAATTGAGGTAATAATCATGGTTCTGCAATTTCTTTTCTATATCATGCATGTCCTTGTGCAGAAATTAATAAGAGTTTTGAAGCCTAGCTAAACTAAATTTTAGACAAACATTCGGAGCATATGAACTGCCATATGTACCCTCTGAGAGCAGCCCCAACCATTTCTAATTAAAATTTTTACTGAGGTGGCTTTTGCTGACACTGCTCTAATGAGAAATGCTCTGTTTTGTTTCCCAAGGAAATTGAATTTTCGGGCATTTAATTTGTTCCGATCCATTTTCCTCTCGGTGTTCTCTTCAGAATTTAGAACCAAAATTTGTTTTTGCTTTTTTTGAAAAAAAATGCTTGGATGCATGTGTCTGTCATCTCCTCAACTGAAGGTTGGTGTAAGATGACCCTAAGATCAGAGGCAGTCTCCATCCCCTTGGCCACAGCTTTTTGGTGTTGAGAGAGGACCTCCTCTGTACTATTTTACAAATGGTCCTCAGAGACTGAATTAGAAGGAACAATGCTCTTCATTTTTCTGACCTCACCTTTCATAACTGGTAATGGTTGGGAACCATTCATTGCAAGGATATAATTTCACATCATGTTTCACTACACGTGTGATAAAAGAAGGAACTTTTATTTCTGCTCAAACTTTGTCGCGAGGTCATATGCGGAGTCAAGCTTGAAGGAGAGTGATCCTGGATTGGAATGTCTATCAGAAAAGAAACCAAAAGCGTTGACGGTTGGTCAGCCTCCTTACTGATTTGTTTGCTGCAAAAGGCAGGTGTCAGTGGAATTATTTGTGGATTTCAGCATGAAACTGGTGTGACATTATCCATCTTGCTATGATTTCACATGTCAAATAGTCTTCAACAGTAGTAAAATTGTAGAAAAATACAAGGTGGCGTTGGTGCGGAAATTGGAGATATCTATCTTGATCTTCATGCTTTAATATTGAAGAGAGAAGAAACAAATGGTGGATTGCATACAATAGATTGGGTGCAGTTCAGCTAATCTAGCTTCTTCTACATCTTTTTGGTCAGAGGAATAATAAAAAGCATAATTATCAACAATTTGTGGAACTAACTTATTTTGATGCTAGTTCCTTTAATGACTTGTGAAATGGCAGAAAGGGACAGATGCCTGTTTGCTTTCCCTACTTCTATACTGACACAAAAAAAGATGAAACCTTCCTCTGTTCTATGTTCTTCTTTTAGTTCTTCTCCTACCACCACCCACTTCATTCTTGGTTTTGCAATCAGCTCCTATTCCTAATCTGTGCTTCCACATTACAGCATGTGGTATATTTTCACTGGCTGATATTTTCATTGGTAAATTCTAGAAGAGTAGCCATGTTTGCCTGCTGGGGCAAAAGCAACAATAAAATGAATTGTGGCACGTTAAGACTAGGACATTTATTGTGAGCTTCCACAAGCAAGAGCCAGTGTCAACAGATGTATGATGTACAGTGATGGCATAGAGGAAAGAATCAGCAGTTGATGTCACCCATGTCGATAAAATAAAGCTCACAGATAGACACATTTGTATTAATGTCATTTTCTAAAAGAAAATAAAAAATAAATATTAAGAACCTGTTCTTTCCACTTGCATAGTCTCCCCCCTCCTTGAATGGTTATTTAATTGGCTTTTCATGCGATTAAAGTCCAGCAAAGACCTTGAGATCCGGATTTCTTGAGCCACTACTTCTGCTACAACACTTTTAACGCACTGCAGAGGCTCTACTGAAATCTCACAAATGGGTTTGGCCAATGAGGACATTTTCAACAACAGCTTCAGAAAATGAAATCCTTGTAATGAGAAAATTGCAGTTTAAATTGGGCCTTATTTCCAGGGCATTGTGAAGGTTAGAGAAGTGGAAGGATTTTGGAGGCACTGTGGAAATTGTTGAAATTGCAGGCACCATTTCTTGTAAGCTTCATTTTGCAAGAAGAAAATCTTAGTAACCATCTTTAACTCTGGAGAACAGAAATGTATGTGGCCATTTAGTGTTTCTTTTTAAGGTGGTTAATTTTCAAGATAAAAAAAAATTCAGCTTGCACTGTGGGAACTTGCAAACAAAGATTAAATCCCATTTTAGAAAATTCTGCTTTTCCTTTTGTGAAGTTTCTCTGCATTCAGTTGTTAATACTTGGCTTTGTTCATTTTCCATGTGCACTATTGCCATAATAACAGATGATAATGTTGCCAGGCTCATGCCACAGCTTAACATGCATAAATATGCATGTGATTGCTGTTGCTTGTGTGATTCCGCATATAGAGGCATTGGAATCTTATGCAATAATACTCCATTGACTCCATAAGGAGTTTCATGAATAAAGCCGAATGGGACATATTATTTCAAAATCAGGATGTCAGGATGCTTGTCCCTGCCAAACAGACTCATCTGAAGGTCCTTAACTGTTATATCAGATTTACCTTAAGACTTGGGAGGAGGATGAAAAATTTGTTCGTCTGGCTCAGGAAGCCCTGAATTCACCCGTGTACAACTTCAAATGTATCAAGCCAGTTGCAGCCCACTTGCTATGTATATTGTGTCTTCTGCCAGATGTATGGCAATCCAGCTGTTATTTGCAGTCCCAGGCAGGCAGAACAAAACTCAAACGCATACACAGAGACACAAACCATATCAAACTCTAGATGAGTGTTATGAACTAGAACAATAGGATTCAGAATGCAGCAGTCTAATTGGTTCTAGAACAATAGGGTCCTGAATGCAGCAGTCTGATTGGTCCACAGGAGCCACCCAATCCAGCTCCAGGTGGAAGTGAATCCACAACCAGATTGGCCTACAGGTGAATCCCGGAATTAGCCAATCACGTGGGGCCCATTGTGTAAATAATGTATATATAGCAGACATTCTGGGGGAACTTCCATTCCTCCTCACCACTATGAGCTGAATAAAGAGCATGAAATCCACTCTCGACTCCGAGTATATTTCATGAGTGACCTACACATTGATGGTGGCTGTAATTGATCTGTGGGTTCACCATGTGAGAGGTTGTGTAGGCCTGCTCTAAGCTCACCATCTCCAGCAAAGAAAGAAAAATAAGTATGGTACCTTTTCATCTCAAATTGTTACTGTTAAAGAGTGGGGATAATACCAAAAGGGGTTTAATAATACTTAGACATGAATAAGTTGTACTCCTCCCCACCGTCCAAAATGGAAGGACTTGAGAAACATCCATTGGAAGCTTTTCATTTCCAAATAGATTTCAAATTTATATCTGTCACCAGCCTGAACACTGTCTCCATTTTGTCAACAACAAGAGGGGGGAGAAATCTCCCCAGAAACACAGTATATTGTCAGATGCAGCACATTTCAACAACCATGCTTTTGGAAAGAAAAGACAAGTAAATAACCCCTAATCTCCCACTACTTTGCTTAATTTGTTTCCGCTATCTTGAAACAGGCTATTACTGTGTTTATATATCAAAACATAATGCTTCTTGACTGCATGACAATCTCGAATGGGCTGAACGGCTGGGAGGGATCTGCACAGCTCTGCACACATCTGCCAGAAAGGAAAGAAGTCATGAAGCAGTAATTTGGAGCTATCCACATGATTCCCAGCAAAGGATGCTAAAGTCCTGAGCATGCTGAGACATTGAGAGGAATGTGACAGGCCAGCAATGCAGGCCAGTGCTTTCCCAGTGCTAAGTCCGAACTAGGGATACCCAGGTTAAAGTTTTAGCTTAGCTTCAAGGCTTAGAGGACACACCAGAAGAAGAAGAAGAAGAGTTTGGATTTGATATCCTGCCTTTCACTCTCTTTAAGGAGTCTCAAAGCGGCTAACATTCTCTTTTCCCTTCCTCCCCCACAACAAACACTCTGTGAGGTGAGTGGGGCTGAGAGACTTCAAAGAAGTGTGACTAGCCCAAGGTCACCCAGTAGCTGCATGTGGAGGAGCGGAGATGCAAACCCGGTTCACCAGATTACGAGTCTATCACTCTTAACCACTATACCACACTGGCTCTCAAGTCAGGAATGTAGACAAGAACTTCGTTGTCTCACTCTCTGACAAGTATGGGACAAAGGAAGTTCTTGACAGGATAAAACTGAGTCCAGTGCTACCTTGTGACTAAACGATAGGGATGTTCACAGATTACATTCAATCAGTACTGTTTTTCTAGAAAAAGAGGTGCCAGAACTCACCGTGAACACCTCCCTTGCTCTCTTAGAATGGCAATGGCACCCACCTGTGAGGTGCCAGAACTGAGTTCCGGTGAGTTCCAGTTGCAAAAAAGCACTGCATTCAATGCAAGTGCAATCTGTGCGCATGTGTGGCTAGATACAAGCACAGTTATTCACAAGTAACATTCAACATGTGTGATATCTGTGCACACCTACACTTAAGTCCTGTTGAGGCATCATTCCTTAACATGGAATGGCAACATGTTTAGGGTCAAAAGAGTGGTGCACACCAGTCTTGACCCTTGCCCACAGTCCACATCCCTGTCTTTGCCACCTGTGGCCTCCCATGTCCAGCTGAACACACTCAGAAGCTTCTCTGTGATTGAGAACCCTGCAGTATCCAGATTTTCAATGGCTAGGGGGCTTCTAAGTGTGTTCAGTCAAAAGTGTTATGAAGGCACCTTCAGACCTTCTTATTCAGTACAGGAAGGTCAAGGTGGGACACTGGGGGCCCTGTGTTTTTTATTTGTATTCCTGCTGGTCAGACATAGCGGTGAACCAGAAATGCTTGACATGTAATGGAGCAGACATATGTTTATATGCAGTTCCCAGGTTATGTCTCGACATTTTTCCCACTGAGAAGAACATGTAACACAGAATACTGTAGCCCTTACCTTGTTGCTGTACTGAAGCCTCTTGGTTAACAAACAATAAACATTAGCATATGCATGGTTTCTTTGGTAACCTCTAGGTTGGATTATTGCAACACATTATATGTAGGGCTGCCTCTGAAAATGGTTCAGAAGCTTCAGCGGGTGGAGAATTCAGCAGCCAGGTTGATCAGTGGCAGAAGATGGTTTGAACATATTACTCTGATCCTGGCCCAACTGCACTGGATACCAATTAGTTTCTGGACCCAGTTCAAAGTGCTGGTTTTGACCTACAAATCTTGAACGCCTCTGGACCACAATACTTGAAGAACCGCCTCTCCCCATATAAACTGTCCCAGACTCTGCATTCATCCTCTGAGGCCCTTTGTGTGCATCCTCCAAGTGAGGTCCAGAGGATGGCAACACAAGAACAGGCCTTTTCTGTAGTGGCTCCCCATTTGTGGAATGCGCTCCCCAGGGAGGGTCACCTGGAACCTTCATTATATATTTTTAGGCACCAGGCGAAAACATTGCTCTTCAACCTGGCCTTTAGCTGATTAATATCCTACAGGCTTTTAAATCTGTCTGTGGGAAGGTATAGTTTTCCTGTTTCGTTTTTAATTATGTACTTGTTTTTATCCTGTATTTTATTCTGAGATCTTATAACGAAGGGCAGTATATAAAACAAACAAACACAAACAAACAAAAAGCAAGCAAGCACTGGTACTCTAAGGGCCCATGCAGACATTTTTTATTGCACATTCATGATAATTTGTGCTCACAATACTATGGTTAGTCATATGTGATCCCGCTTTCAATACCCTTTGAACTTGCAGAACTTTGGGGGTGGTCATACTGGTATCCAGCCCATAGTTGCCTGCAATGTTTTATACCACCAATGTTCTGGTATATTTTTGTCCCACTTTCGTTGTGCTGGAGCCCCTTTGGACACCAGTTAATGTGGTAGCATTGGGGACTGCCGGGTTGGTGCCTCCAGCAATGGCGGAATTCCTCTGATCAGGAGGAATTCGCCCCATGGGAATTTGGGTCTGTACCACCACGGCGAAGGTGGAGACCCGTAAAAATCACAGGTGGGAGAAGCCTGTGAACGTGGGATTCGGCGGGCACCTTTTGCGCCTCCCCTACTCGCGGGGAAACCCGGTTTCGGGGATCCGGAGCGATGTGGGGTGAGTGGCGCGGTGCTTCGAATCGTCTGCTTCTTCCACGGAGCGAAGCCGCATAGCTGTTGTCGGAGAGCACTGACTTTTTCTTGTGGACAATTTGACTCTAAAGTAATTACCCGTGAGTAGAGCTGAATCGGGAAGAATTGGATTTTTAAACGTTTAATCTGGCATTGAAACGGGGAGGTTCAATACAGGAAGTCCGCCTCCCTCTTTTGTAGATTAACTGAAGCAAGGAGACTGCAAGCTAAAGTATTGGAAAGCCTTCTGTAAAGGACTAAATTTCCATCGGTAAAGAACTAAATCCCCCCTTTTTGGAGGCAGGAGAAGGGGGGGGGAGTGGTGGACTGAATATGCCTGTAGGAGAGAGTTAAGAGAGTTAAAATACCGCCACTCTGACCCTGGAAACGGGCTGCTAGCAGGATTGATGTTTTTTGGAACGTCCACTGACAGCGTTTAGAACGTTCACTGACAGGTAGCTAATCGAGAGAATACATTGTTTCTACTGCCTCCGGTTGTTTTTAAAAAAGGAGGAAAGTAACTGAAAATTGAAACTAACTTTGGATTCTTGAAACTGTGTTTAAAAGAGGACATACTGACCGATACAAATACAACCTGTTTTCCCCTAGTGGAAGCTTTTGAAATTGGTAACTTTATAGGAGCTGGGCTAGGGGAATTTCCAGCTGCAAGATAAAAAAGTGTGAGACTTTGGAATTGACCTTGAATCTCTTAAGTGTTGTGGCAAACGGAAAGGAAAAAAACAGACGGGATGTCGACAGAGGAGGCCTTAGTGGCTGCATTATTGAAAATAAACGACTCGCTGGAACAACTCCACAAGAAAACAGATGCGATAAATGTGAAATTGGATGTTGCAAATATTGAAATTGATTTAAGTGTAGAAAGTTTAAATAACTTGGGACAAAAGGTGAATACTAATTCAGAAACCACCCAGAAACTGACACAGGAATCTACTCTGATATGGCAAACTGCAGATGAAGTCAGGGAAAAAACCCTTGCTGCTGAATCCAAAGTAATACAACTGGAGAGGAGAGTCCCATCCATACAAAGACAACTTGATGAACATAAGCTGACATTTGTTATGATTGAACTTAAAGAAGAACGGATGAATTTGAGGACCAGAGCCCTATCTGAATTGGAAAAGGAAAGCTTGACAGAGTTTCAGGAGGTGACAGGACTAACATTGGTTGAGAAAGAGAGGTATTTGGGGGTTAGTATGACCGCCAAAAATGTGAATCTGCTTAAGGATAACTGTGAAGGATGTTGGATTGAAGAGAGGGGGATTTGGAAATCTGGACAAATCAGAAGTTGTTACTGTTGGGCCGAGTTATTGTGGTGGGGATGAGGGCTGCTGTGTTGCTGGGGATGTTGCTTTTGTTTCAAACATTGCAAGCTTTGGATGGGACGGAGGGTTTCAGGAGGTGGCAGAGGGATGCTCCTAGAGTTGTTTGGCAGGGCAGGAAGCCTCGAGTAAAACTTAAGATATTGATGGATGCCAAAGAAGGAGGTGGACCTGCCCTGCCAGACCTTTAAACTTCGTTGTGAACCATCTGCTTTTTGCTGGTTGAGAGAATGGTCGCTTTTTGAAAACACTGAAGTGTTGGACAATGGCAGATGAAGTTGATGGACTATATGGAATTGGCGGAAATGACTGGCAAGATCCGAGACCAGGGTGAAGAGT